CTCTCTCTCTCTCTCCTAAAGCTCTCCTTCTCCTACCTCTCTAAGCTCATTCTCAAGATAATTCAATAGCAAAGATATTTCTCCAAGACAAATACAATTGCATAAATAGTGAGCCTTCAAAAAAGTCCTAATTTTCAATCTGGCGGCACTGGTCGTCCTGTACGATTAGTTAAAAAACACCGATTCATGCAGTACAGATCTCATTGTTATGTACGATTAGTTAAACTGATCATCCTGGACAATTAAAATAATGTCCCAAATGATTAGAATAAACTATTGAACTTTGTCTTGTACGATACACGACGATGCCTTATCGTCCCATGCAATTCTCTGTCATCTAGTATGAAAAGCGTTCATTGTCTTGGACAATAAGTTGAAAAACTATGGTCTTCATCTGGTTCGATAGACGACGATCCCTTATCATCCCATGTATGTTCTTTGTTATCCAGGACAATCGTCACTGATCGTCCTGTACGATCAGATCAAACACTTTTACCATAATTATTCTCCTAATCACATGATTAATTTAGGCATGATTTTCATCTATCATCCAGGCCGATACGAATCGTCCTATACGATATGAACAAATTTTGATTTATAAAATCTTGCCTAAATTGTGATTGACAGTTAATATCTTGATTAAAATGTATCGTCCTATATGATAATGATTGTCCAGGATGATTAGCTTAATTAATCTTAATTAATAGAGATGCCCTAATTAGGGTTTTTTAGTAAACAGATCGTCTAGTACGATATAAATCACACTGCACGATTAGTTCAAAAAATACAATTTGTCTAACTCTCCTACTCACTCCCTTGAATGTGTGTGCAATGTTACTTAGCTTTTGAATCCATCACAATACATTTTTTACTCAAGAAAGATAAAATATATAGTTTTGAAATTGAAATTACAGACCGACTCAACCTTAGTCTACAATCATTATAAGAATACCATTTTAAGGTTGTAGCAAAAGTTAACCTAAACAATGGTCAATTTTAAAGGACAACATCAAATGGTTGCGTGTTAAAATATTCATGACGATACGCTATGTTGATAAATTTAGCTTATACATATAAATACTCTATATATAGTATGTGCTAACAATCCTTAAACATTTAAGCCTCTTATGACATTTAAATGTTAGATGTATTTAAAGTTTGATTTATAGCCAAATAAAACTGCATTTAATATTTGTTAGATTGTCCCAATAAAATTTATATGGCCAAAATTTTAAAATCGCGTGCCCAATTTATATTAAAAAAAAAACTAACATGATGAGTATCTAATAATTATTATGTTTATTTTAAAAATATAATTTAATTAACTTAAATAATATAATTTAAATAATATATTGATTCCAGTTTTAATATTTTAATTTGTTACTTGTAACAATTAAAATTTTAATATTTAAATTTTTATAACTATTAAATTTAAATAGTGATCCTTTTTAAAATTTATCAATTTTATATTTGTCAATATTTTATGTTCTTTCTTCTGAATTGATCTTCAATAGTGATCCTTCTAAAAATAAAAACTCAATAACACACTTTTAAATTTTTAACTAAGATTTATTAATTCAAGATATTTACTAAAATCCTATTTGATAAGATCAACTTTTCAATTATAGAGAACTAAATGATTATTTACATAAATTACATCAAATAAAGAAAAAAAAATCGAACATCTCCCCCTAATTACCTCTCCGGAAAATTAATTGCAATCCGGTCACCGGACGCGAGATAGGTCCGGATATTAATAAAATATTATTTAATAAATTTATTTTAAATTTAACACGTCAAAAACGCAGGTAAAGCGAAGAAAACGCAGTAAAGCGCAGGTAATTAAGTGTAGGTCAAAGCGCAGTTAAAAGCGCATGTAAAGCACAGTTAAAGCACAACTAAAACGCAAGTCAAAAATGCAGATGACGTGACAAATTTTTATTGACATCCGACTATTCAACGCGTCCGGTGACTTGATGATAATTTGCCATCAGACTACGAATTTATCTGTTAAAATGTCATTTTTTAAGCTTAGCACATGGATGAACTTCCCGATTGTCTGATTTCTCCAATCCAATTATTACCAGAAGACAAAAGCACGATTGTCGATCTCAATCCTTAAAAATACGAGAAAAACGTGCACCCTTTCGCCATTTTTTAAATGCAGGGGTAAGAAAGTCCATGCCTCCTTCTTCTCCTCCGCAATCCCAAATGTATCTATATAACTCCATCGTCCAATTCAATTCGTCAGTCCATCAGCTAGCCTCCGATCCACAGCGACTGTCTACATCGTCATGAGCTCAAATCGCGTATAATGGGCTCGACAAGTCACAACCCGAAACAACAAGCCTCCTGTTCTCCTCCCACTAAGAATGATCGACAAGCCACAACCCGAAGAACTGTCTGCATCGATCATGTTCTCCAATCGCTACCCATGGAATCGACAAACCACAACTCCTGACAAAGCATCCTATTCTCTCCCACGAAAGAAATGGCACGACAAGCCACAACCCGAACAACAAGCTCCTATTCTCCTCCCCACTAAAGAATGGATCGACAAGCCACAACCCGAAGAACTGTCTGCATCGATCATGTTCTCCAATCGCTACCCATGGCTCGACAAGCCACAACCTGAGCAACAAGCTCCTATTCTCCTCCCCACGAAAGAATGCACGACAGCCACAACCCGAACAACTGTCTGCATCGATCATGAGCTCCAATCACTAGCATGGCTCGACAAGCCACGACCCGAACAACAAGCTCTATTATCCTTTCCACTAAAGAATGGATCGACAAGCCACAACCCGAAGAACTGTCTGCATCGATCATGTTCTCCAATCGCTACCCATGGCTCGACAAGCCACAACTTGAGCAACAAGCTCCTATTCTCCTCCCCACGAAAGAATGGCACGACAAGCCACAACCCGAACAATTGTCTGCATCGATCATGAGCTCCAATCGCTATGCATGGCTTGACAAGCCACAGCCGAAAAACAGCTCTATTCTCCTCCCACTAAAGAATTGCTTAACAAGCCACAACCCGAACAACCATATGTATCAATCATGATTCCAATCGCTCGAATGCTCGACAAGCCACAACCTGACAACAACTCCTCTCTTCTCCCCACTAAGGAATTGCTCGACAAGCCACAACCCCAACAACAACCTCCTCTTCTCCTCCCCACTAAAGAAATCCCCGGCAGCTACGGCATCCCCTTCATCTCCCCCATCAAAGACCGCCTCGACTACTACTACTTCAAAGGTCATGACAATTTCTTCCAGTCAAAAATCAACCAATACTCCTCCACCGTCTTCCGCACCAACATGATTCCGGGCCCATTCATGGCCTCCAACCCCCGCGTCATCGCCGTTCTCGACGCCAAGAGCTTTCCCATCCTCTTCGACACCTCCAAAGTCGAGAAAAAAAACGTCTTTACGGGCACTTACATGCCCTCCACCAAACTCACCGGCGGCTACCGCGTCTGCTCCTACCTCGACCCCTCCGAACCCACTCACGCGAAAGTCAAGCAATTCCTCTTCAACCTCCTCAAATCCCGCAAGGACTACTTCCTCCCCGCCTTCCGCTCCGCCTACATCGCCCCAATCTTCTCCTCCGTCGAATCCCAAGTCGCCACCCACGGCCAGGTGGACTTCAACGCGCTCAACAACGACATCGCCTTCGATTTCCTCGGCGAGGCTTATTTCGGCGCGCGCCCCTCTAAAGTGGGCACTTTTGGCTCTTGCTTCAACTTCCAGAAAAAGGTGACGATTTGGCTCTTGCTTCAGCTTGCCCCCCTTGCCAGCAACGTTTTGACCAAATTCCGAATTCCGAAGCTCGTTGAAGATTTCCTCTTGCACACCTTTGCTTTCCCTTCTTTCATAGCCAAGCCAGGTTACATAAGCATGTACGAGTACTTCAACACAGCTGGATCTGCGGCGCTCGATTTGGCGGAGAAGGTTGGATTGTCGCGCGACGAGGCTTGTCACAACCTTATCTTTGCGACTTGTTTCAACACCTATGGTGGGTTGAGGGTGCTGTTTCCGGGTCTGCTTAAGAGGCTGGCGCAGTCGGGGCGTGATTTGCACGCGCGGCTGGCGACGGAGGTGCGTCAAGCGGTGGCTAACCATGGGGAGAATGGGCAGGTGACGTTGGGGGCGCTGGAGCAGATGGAGCTGGCTAATTCGGTTGTCTACGAGGTGCTGAGGATTGATCCGCCGGTTGAGTTCCAGTACGCGCATGCTAAGAAGGATTTCCTGCTGCAAAGCCATGACGCGCAATATCAGGTGCGCAAGGGTGAGATGCTGTTCGGCTACCAGCCGTTCGCCACCAGAGACACGCGCGTGTTCGGCGCCAACGCCGGCGAGTTCGTTCCCGACCGCTTCGTAGGCTCCGAAGGCGCCAAGCTTCTCCGCTACGTGTGGTGGTCCAACGGCCCCGAGACAGAGGATCCAACCGTCAACAACAAGCAGTGCGCCGGAAAGAACTTCGTCGTGCTCGTCGCCCGCCTCTTCGTCGCCGAGTTCTTCCTCCGCTACGACTCCTTCACCGCTGAAATTTCCAACTCAGTAGTCGGCGCGCAGGTCAACATCACTTCTATCACTAAAGCTAAAGCTAAAGCAAGTAATTTTTATTAATTACTTAATTAGATGATGGGCTTTTCTGTGCTGTGATGTAATTAAATGGTTGTTAAGCCTTTGTTGTGGGGTCATATTGTAATATTGTATTTTAAGCTGCTTGGACGTGTTGTAGAGAAGCTATCGCACTTATTGCACATCATTGTAGTCACTGCAATAATTCTAAGTCACTTAATTGCAAGATTGAGATAAATGTTGCGAACCAATTATTGTCATTCATGTGCAAGTTATGCAACTCATGAAAGGCACCATATGTTTCTTTGCAGTTTGTTCAAGTCCAAGTGCAATTATAGTACCTTTGCAAATGCCTTGTCATTTGAATTAGGCTTGGTTCGTTTCACCTTATTTTAGGCTTGATTTCATGTAATTCATTAAAGTTCTAGTCCTCTGTAGTCTTGATCAGTTCAAGTTTTCATTTAGTTCATCTAAGTTCAAATTAAGCCTCTTGTGTTTGTCAATTTTCACTCAAATCTAGTCCAAATGAATTTCTGAGTTCAGTTCAAATTTGGGCAGCCTCCTGGCGTCTCTCTCTTTTAGGGGAAAAACTAAGAGGTTGCATTCCCCTCCACGCTATATGAGCGCTTAAGATAGAGTTTGGGTGACACCACAGCTGCATTTCTTCAATTCTCGCTACGCTACATGAGTGTTTAAGGGTCTCTGACAAATGTTTAAAAGAACACAGTTGTTTCCCCACGTATGAGTACTTAGTTTTTGTCCTCCCCACGCTATGTGGCTGCTGGAGTGGAGTCGGATGTAGGGTTTTGTGGATAGGAGGAGTTCAAATGCAGGAAAGGAGGCAGGTTGAAGACTTCGGGATGGTGATCAAATGGAAGAGGGGTTCGACCAATGGGGTAGGTTTGGTGGGAGGAAGGTGGTTGGTTTGGTTCGGCGGCTGGATCTACGGGTAGGAGAAAGATAGAGTTAGGTCGAGAGCAGAGTGGGTCGTCGGGGATGGAAACTTTAGCGTTGGATTTAGCGGCTTGAGGAAGAAAATGGTCGGAGGTTTGGGATCAGACGGGGTCAGAGGCTTTGCGGGAATTCTGTGTGGAAGAAACAAGAGAAACTAAAGGCTTCAGTTCCCTACCCTTTTATCGACGTGAACGGGCTGAGATCGAGGTGAAATCATACGCGAGGAATGAGCTTCTGTTGTTCGACGCCACTTGCAGAGCTGAGACATAAGTTTTTTTTTTTTCCGCAGAAAATCAGAATGGGACTCTGCCTATATAGGGATCTCGGCAGTATTTTGAGTGCTGACATGGAGGTAAAGATCTTAAGCTCCTCTTTTTTTTTTTTCTTTCTTTCTTTTAACTATAGTATTAGATGTCAACAATTTACTATCATGTTTCTACGATAACTTTAATAATTACGTCATCATCCCATAGCGATGATGTGATGTAGATGTGACACCACTATTCACTGTGGTTCCATAAATGGGCAACTTGTGCCTTGTGGGGGGACATCTTATGATGTAGCACTTTTGAGATGGGGCGAGCTCGAGGGAGCCTGATTGAAAAGGATAAATCTAGTCGCAATAGGCCATTCTTGCATAATGACTTGGTTTGGAGAGTAGATGTATTAGAATTGAATTATATTAAGAAATATAGAGGTAGACATAAAAATACTTGATGATAAAGTATTTGAAATGACATATTTTTTTATATTTAAATAAAAAAATAGACTCTTAATAGAACACAATTAACAATTCATATATCCTGTCACTACAATAATTCTAAGTCACTTAATTGCAAGATTGAGATAAATGTTGCGAACCAATTATTGTCATTCATATGCAAGTTATGCAACCCATGGAAGGCACCATATTGTCAGTTGGTGTTTCTTTACAATATTATCATCATCTGTAATGAGTGGTGTTTATGGTCCATGGTTCACAAATCTCATATATGTTCATTTGCAGTTTGTTCAAGTCCAAGTGCAATTATAGTTCCTTTGCAAATGCCTTGTCATTTGAATTAGGCTTGGCTCATTTCACCTTATTTTAGGCTTGATTTCATATAATTCATTAAAGTCCAAGTCCTCTATAGTCTTGATCAATTCAAGTTTTCATTTAGTTCATCTAAGATCAAATTAAGCCTCTTGTGTTTGTCCTTTTTCATTCAAATCAAGTCAAAATGAAGTTCCAAGTTCAGTTCAAATTTCGGCAGCCTCTTGGCGTCTCTCCTATTTAGGGGAAAAACTAAGAGGCTGTCTTCCCCTCCCTGCTATATGAGCTCTTATTGTAGAGTTTGGGTGACACCACGGCTACATTTTCTTCAATTCTCGCTACGCTACATGAGCGTTTAAGGGTCTCTGACACCTATTTAAAATAACACAGTTGTCTCCCTACGTATGAGTACTTAGTTTTCGTCCTCCCCATGCTACGTGGTTGCTGGAGTGGAGTCGGTTGTAGGGGTTTGTGGATAGGAGTTCGGATGCAGGAAAGGAGGCAGGTTTAAGACTTCGGGATAATGATCGAATGGAAGAGGGGTTCGACCAAATGGGTAGGCTCGGCGGGAGGAAGGTGGTCAGCTTGGTTCGGCAGCTAGCTAGATATGTGGGTAGGAGATAAATAGAGTTAGGTCGAGAGCAAAGAGGGTCGTCGGGGCTGGCAACTTTTGCGTTGGATTTAACAGCTTGAGGAAGAAAATAGTCAGAGGTTTGGGATCGGATAGGGTAGGAGGTTTGGGATCGGACGGGGTCAGAGGCTTTGCGGGAGTTCTGTGTGGAAGAAACGAGAGAAACTGAAGGCTTAAGTTCCATCCCATTTTATCGACGCAAACAGGCTGAGATCGAGGTGAAATCGCATGCAAGGGATGGGCTTCTACTGTTCGTTGCCACTTGCAGAGCTGGGACAAGAGTTTTTTTTTTTTTTTACAGAAATCGAAATGGGCCGCTGCCTATATAAGGATCTCGACAGGATTTTGAGTGCTGACGTGGAGGTAATGATCTTAAGCTCCTCTTTTCTTCTTCTTTTTTTCCCTACCTTTTGGCTATAGTATACAGGTCAACAATTTACTACCATGTTTCTACGATAACTTTGGAAATTGCGTCATGAAAATTACATCATCCCGTAGCGATGATGTGATGGAGATGTGATGCCACTATTCAGTGTGGTTCTATAAATGGGCAACTTGTGCATTGGGGGGACACAGAAGAATTAAGATCCTCACCTAATTAACAATTTAAACAGAACTATCTCACAGGAGAAATTACAACTTACATGATGAAATTGCAGACACAAAAAAAGACCTGAAGCAAGAGAAAAAAAAAAACAGGGAAGACAAACATCCATCAAGCAGAGAAGAAACCATTAAAGGCAGCAAGAGAAAAAGAACTTGTAGGGTTCCTAGCTCTCTTTTCAATATCATCCCTTACAAAGATCAGCTCCTCTGTGAGCTTTTCCTTAATGGTTAAGAGAGCAGAGGAGGCCATAGCTATGGTGGAGCTGAACTCAAACCCATTATATTCCTCTCCCTTCTCCAACTTCTTCGTCCTCCTCTCAAAGTCATCTGCGACGAAGGAAGCTATATCCACCATTATTTGTGCTTGTAAAAGCTAGATAACAGAGAAGCTCAAAGCACACTATGTTCTTGAGAGGATATATTTATGTTTTTTTTTTTTTTATAGAAATTTATATTATGCGTTTATTTCACTGAAAAGAAATCTTATTGGAAGGTCGGAGAGGGTTTTGGATAAGATCGGCAGCATTTTGGCATGCTTTGTGATTAGTAATGCAATCTGATGCATCAAGAGATAAGCTGTACTATGGCTAAAGGCTAAAGGTACATTTGATTTAAGCTTTGATTGGGACAGTCTTTTTATTATTTTTTAAAACAAAATTTTATTTTTTAAAACAAAATTTAAGTATAAAATTTTTAATTAAGACTCAATAAAAAAATAATCCCAAATAAAATCTTAGAATATGATAATTAATCAAATACCATATAAAAAGACATTTAAATTTAATTTATTTTTAAATCATATCTTAACTTATTAAATCAGCCAAAATTATACAAAAATATTTTCACTAATGATTGAATTAAAATTATTTATAATTTCAGTAAAATATTTAAGTCTTCATGAGCTACCATCATAACATAAATGTCATGCCAAGCATATTCAATAAAAAGAAAAATTGTTAAAAACATATAATTTTAGTACGACGCCCAATGTAAATAGATAATTTTAAGACATTAATCAGATATGAATAAATAAAGCAATGTGTAGCTGGTTTCTACAATACAACGCAAAAAAAATGAAAATTATAAAGACAATTATGCTTTGTTATAATACATCTCAACCTAATGTTATACGCAAAATATTGACATATAAATCTTATAACTTTATGGCTGTAATCCATTCTTTTGTTTCATCCATATATTATCTCTCACAAGCTTATATGAATTTCCTAATTAAAATTATATTGCAAAAGCCAAATTATATATTTTCTCTTAGAAAATAAATGTTAGTTCAAGAAAACACATGAATTTCATACACATAATGTCATAACCCTTACATATGTTGGTGCCAACCAATTTTTAGCCACTATTAATAACACTCACTGCAAGGCGCTTTTATTTGGTTCGGTTGACCGGATGCAAGTAACATCCGGTCCTAGGCAAAAAGTACCGAGGTGTATCGAATTTTTTCAAAAAACTCGGTACACCTCGGTACTGGCGTTTTTTTGCCTAGGACCGGATGTTCCTCTGCATCCGGTCGGAGGACGTAATAACGGCACCACTACAAGACTTAGCAAAGCATAGCATCACCTATAAGCAAAATTAATTTATATAGATTTATTTGACCTTGTTTTCCCTTTTTGGGCATGTTCAAGAGCAAGTGCGCACACAATAATACATCAAATATTAGATCACACAAAAGAAAAAAAATAACACATTTACACCCTAATGTTAGGATGCCTTAAAATGTGTCTATCATAACATCTAATATGTGGTAAGACATGTAAATATCATACTAAATAATAATGTGGTATTTTATTTTGAATTTTAGAAAGAAATTAATGTAAATATGTGGCGATTTCACATTAATTGCTACTTCAAGTTTTTATTTAAATATTAAAGTGAAGAATTTTAAAATTTTAAAATTTATAAAGAGCTAAATAAATGAATATCATTCAGCTAAAGTGGGCCTTCATATGACTTTATATGCCCCAGATCATCCAAAATTGGCCAAATATGTCCATCATTTATTTTCTTGGAAACAATATACCCATGACCAAAATACCCTTCTTACTCAATATGACCGCTATATAAGAAGAACAATGCCCCATCTTTTCGAGAAATTATTATGTGCAGTCACCAGATCGTTTGAAGATGAATGAGAGCGCACCACATCACCCAGTACACAGCACCAATACACAATAAAAAGGTGACATGACGCGCTCTCATTTGTTTCTGAATACTATCTGATGACCACACAGAATAATTAATCCATCTTTTTCACACTTCAACTTACTCCATTGAAATTCAATTAAAGAAATAAATATGTTATCAAAAAATTCTCTTGATCGGCACGAATCTCGATGCAAAATCAAGTTGGAAACTTCAAAAATTATATCATAAATTAGATTATTTTGATTGGGGACTTCTAATGAAGAGCTAGATATAATATCAAATAAGGAATTTCGAACTAGTGAGATCATGAGTTTGAATTATATTCAAATCATGGTCCAAAATGTATTGAACATTTTCAAAATATTATTAAATCATGTTTGAACATTATTCAATCATGATAATGACCATATTTGAACACATTCTAATAGCAATAAAGTTGCACATTGGTCAATGAATTAAGCTCCAAAATTTTGTATCATATAGAGGAGAATAAGAAGAAGGCCACATCGCTTTGATATTTATTGAAACAAATTAAAATATTAATGATAAAAAAAAAAAAAAAAACTCTTGGAGATCTCATAGATCTTATATACAAAATGAGATAGATTGATAATAATTAATTGGACACAATATAAATAGTGGCTCATGGTTGGTTTGATACTAAAACATTAATCGGAGATTATAACTGAAGCTTGTGATCTACTTGAAACAAAAAAAAATGACTAAAATCTTTTGATTCTTGATATATCTTAAACCTTAAAACCAACAATTCAAGATATATATAGCACATGAATAACTTTTAACCTACAAGGGTTGAAGATTGAAAGCATCTCCAATTCAAAAATTGTTGATACAATAGCCTCATGGTTTGTCCACAATACAAAGGCAAGTTGGATAGCTTTTTAGGAGGATGCTATAACCATATGCAATGAAAAAAGCTTTAAAAAGTACAATATATGTTGCAACTTCAGAGAAATATCAATGAACTTGCATGCTAAGAAGTTACCAAAATCATATATGTTCGAGAGTATGAGCCTTGAATTAGAGCACTTACACTTTAGACGATAGATCAAACATAAATGAAAGGTGAAGGAATTTGGCAAATTCAAAGAAATACTCATAGAGCTTTTGAAAAACTCAAATATGTGAGAATAGGGGCCTTGAATAAGAGCACTTGTACTTTCGATGTTCATAAGACAAAAAACAATGCTCATTAAATATATAATCAAAGAGAAACTCATCAAGTTTGATTCTAAATTCAAGCCAAAGACAATTATATCAAATGAGAGAACATTATGATATTGAGTTGTCCTATGAGAAAGCTTAATAGTGTAACGAGCAAAGAGGATCCCTCAAAGTAATCCTTGCAGAAGTTGTCATCTTAACAAGTTAAGCATACACAAGAAAAATCCAAAGACTAGTTAATATTCAACTTAACAATGAAAGAAGTTTTAAGTTTATTTCCTTATATTTAGGAATTTGTGTTCAAAGCTTCAAAAGTGCAATTCATCGAGTGTTAAATATGAATTGAATATTCTTTAATCAATAAGCATAATGGAAGTGACACATGTTAATACCGAGATTTATCCAATAACATTTATAATAGTTGAGCTAAAAAATAATGAGTTGTAAATACATTTCATGACCAACCAATGGAATCAATAGATATAATAGAGAACTAGGAATTCGTCTCTAAATGAGGTAACAATATCAATAATACTGTATCAATCATTTAATTTGAGGCACATCATAAAGCTTATACAGTGCACATTATTTTGCAATGAATATGATGGCAAAGTTCAAAATTGATAATTGTCATGAGGAATATCATTTGACTCCAAAGGCTTAAACTAGGTGATTTATATAATCATATTTGACAAAATAAATATCGAAGTACCCAATAATAGATGCCTATTTACATAATTAAGTTAATTTTGAGTGGTGAGCTTGTTCTTTCATCCCTTAAAACCAATATAACTTAATGATAACCAATATTTCAAAGAGCTCTTGCAATGCTATGAAGAGCACCATCTAATCTAATGACTTCATTGGAGTTTTTTAGGCGCATAATACAAAATTGATTCTTTAATAACCACAACATAAAATCGAATACAAAGCTATTTTAAGCAAAGAAAATTAAAGTATTAAAAAAGCTCTTGTATGAAGCTCAAAGTTTCTCAAAATCAAATTGGATTCATGTCGATAGGTCTACTATGGAAGCTATACATTTATTGAGAGGTTTGATGGAGGAGTATAGAGAGAATAAGGAGGATCTTCATATAATATTTATTGATTTAGATAATACATATGATAAAATTTCAAGAGAAGTTCTATGGAGAGTTCTAAAAAAGAAAGTGGTTAATAATGCTTATATTCAAGTGATTAGGAATATATATGCTGGAGCTGTTACTTGTGTTCAAACACAAGGTGGTTTGACCAAATATTTTCCAATTTTAGTTGTATCAAGGATCATCCTTAAGCCCATATCTTTTTGATATAGTCATTGATGGTCTTACTAGTGATTTGCAAGAGAATGTTCCATGGTGCATGCTTTTTACTGATGATATTCTTCTTGTTGATAAGACTAAAGAGGAAGTTGAAGGTAAACTTGAATTATGGAGGTCAACCATAGAGTCTAAAAGTTTTCATTTGAGTAGATCTAAAACCGAATACATGGAGTGATGGTGAAATACATGGGAATATTATTAGTAGAATTCAAGTTGGATAGTTAAAGTTGAGGAGAGCACCAGGCTTGTTATGTAATAGAAAAGTACCACTCAAACTTAAGGGAAAATTCTTTAAGATGGTGGTTAGACCTGCAATGCTTTATGGCGCATAATGTTGGTGTTGACCTCGATTTTGCCCAGATTTGGGCCCGAACAGTTGACTTGGTCAAATTGACCAAGCCAGACCCTATGGCCCTCCCGTTGGGTTTAGTGGGTCGAGTCGAGTCTGTCGAGCCCGGTGCTCCTTCGGAGGCCCACAGTTGGCCATTAAAAGAGAAGCATAATATTAAGGTAAGTGTTGTAGAGATAGGATGCTTAGGTGGATGAGTGACTTTACTCTTAAAGACATGATACGAAATGAGCATATACATTAAAAGGTTGGAGTAGCTCCAATGACATATAAGATTAGAGAGAGCTATTTTAGATGGTTTGGTCACATAAAACGGCAGCCTTCCGATGACCCGGTTAGGATAGTAGATGTATTAGAATTGACCTATGTTAAAAAAGATAGAGGTAGACCTAAAAGACTTGGTTAAAAAATATTAGAAATGACCTTTTCTATTAGATCTAAATGAGAATTTGACTCTTAACATGACGCAATGGAGAAAAAAAGATTCATGTAGTCGATCCCAAGTAGTGGGATAAAAACTTGATGTTTTTGTTTCTATATAAAGCTCAAAGTTTAAATTTATATCCTATCAGTCAATTTGAACTACACATCCTTGACAATGATCTTAACGGGTAATGTCAATTTGCAAAAGTGAACATGTATATGCAAAAAAAATGATATTAATCTCCCTTGTTCACATGCATTTGATGCAACTCTAACTCAATATGTTAATCATTATAATTTATGTTCAAACTTTTTTGCACCAGGAGCATGACTAACCTTCTTTTCTAAAAATATATCTCCAACTGAAAATGAAAATATATGGAAGATTCTAGATGAAATAAACAAAGTTAACATATTACACTTGGCTGATGAAGCCAAAGTGTGTCATCGAAAAAAAACACACAAGACCTTTAATAGGGAAACATACGTCATCACATAGATGCAATAGTTGTAGAATGAGATGCCAAAATCGAGTTATTATAGGGCAAAGTGCCTCAGATCTTCATAATAATTATTACTTATTAGTATAAAAACATTATAATTGCTTATATTTAACTTATTTCTCAAAATAATGCAACTAATTAACTATGCAATATTGTAAGATTGTTATTATAATGTGTTGCAGCTTTGGCTTACACTCAGTTGCATCCATCTTATAATTTATTATTTCAGAACTGTTAAGATAGCTATTTGCTATGTTATAACTCCTGAATCATACTATAGTGTATATATCCTATAATATGTGTTATAATTGTTAAGATTACACTATCCTATATCAATCTTATAGTTTGCTCTGGCAAAATTATTTGAATGCGCTATTTTATATCTTCTATTTGTAAACCCTCCTCATTTGAACCCTATTCAAACCATGTTCTAATAGGGTTCAAACATATTTGATGTTTGAAAAGGTTCAAACCATGGCCAAACAGCATTTGAACGTTCAAATTTTTCCTGAATATGATTCCAAATTTGTTTGAACCTATGTCATTCTAGATGAACTTTAAATAACTAGCATGGGTTAAAGCAGAGTTTTTTTCCATTCGACACCGACTTTCAGGAAATTTTTTTTTTAAAATAAACAACAAATATATTTCTCCAACTATGAAGCATATAAAGTCAAATTTCCCATTTCAATCCTCGCGAAATTTAAAAGCACACAAATATTCTTTCAAGAATGATTTCTCTACTTAGCACCATCAATTAATCAACTCAATATGTTTTCTTAATGAATGTTGCAAATTAGGTGTAATCACTAACCAAACATATCCCTTGTGCTTGACTGAACTGTCCCTCTCTTTAGCTTCTTCTTTTTTTCATAATGTAAGATAACATACTCCTAAACCTTAATTACTTTTTCCTACTCTACACAAAAAGAATACCTGACTTGAGAAGGAATACATGATGATAAACTCCCAACCATCCTTTTCATGTCGGTGTTTGCTCTCCTGCCCCAGAATGCTGTCTTGAATGGTCTTTCTGGAACAATCATTCAGGGATTAGCACAGTTGATACCATGGAAGTCATCTAATCAGAGTAAAACCACAAACACTTCGACAGAGCCTGAAATACAAAACTGTTTCAAAACGCGCACTTCTCCCAAATGGCCGAATGGTAGCAAATGCAATCTCAAAATGCAAATTTAAAATGGAATTGTATTACGCCAAAAATGATGTGTAGTAAAAATAATGTAAAAAAAAAAACATGCTGTTCTGGCTCTGCTATGATAGGCTGCACCCAACAATTGAACAATAACATAGCCTCCAATATTCTCTAAAGCTTATGTGCATCCAAGGTAGTGTAGACGGAATATAAGTATCTAAACACGACGGGATTCTGCAAAACAAAACGATAGGTATTCAATAAAATAAAATAAAATAACGATATGTATTCAATGATTCTTAACAAAGAGTAGGAACAAATAAGACGATAAAAATTAAAAATCTAGTAATCACCTTTGACCGCTAAGAATTCCAGATGCTAATCGCCTACTGAATGTTGTACTAATATTTCCGAAGACTCTGGCATAGCATGGAAAGACAATTTGCCCTGAAATCATTTCCTTCATCTTTATACCACTAAAACAACCTTATAAAGCAAGAAAAAATACATAACTATACTACGAGATTCCTCTAGTCACAAAACTTTTCAAAATATATATGAAGAGTATCAGTTAAGGGTCATGATTCACAAAGATACTTATAAATGGATGAGACTAGTTAGATTACCAAGCGTAGCATATTTGCTATGGAGGATGGAGAGAGCAGTTTCCTGTATTCCATTGAATCTTCTTTCATCTGAAGAAAAAGAGTTTGCACCAGAAATGATATCGAACCATATTCCAGAGGGAAATCTTCTTCGTCTTGCCAACCATAGTAAGATTTCAGCATAAGGAGTAGCATGAAGTATTGAAATTGTTATCTCTATTGAGAAACGTATGAGAATAAGCGTAGTACTCAACAAAGTGAAAAATATGTAGAAGATTGATGTCGTTGGAAGTAGAAGTAAGAAGGGCGTAAACAGTAATGAACCCACAACATGCTGCTCAACCGAATAATCATCATAACTGTCTAACCTTTGCCGAAGAGGATTCCATTTTCTCCCCCTGCCATTGGATTAACTGATAGATTATTGTACAAAAACGATGGAAAATCTTCATCATTAAACAGATACTGAATAAAAGTAATGATTGAGTTGTCTTGATGTAGAAAACTCCTACATAATTTTTGCCTTTTCCTCATTTGTTATACTATTTGCGAATGTTGAAGTACAAATTTTTGTTGTAGTGCCTGTGGTTTGTTGCAATGCCTGCATTGTTGCTACGAGGAAATCTTTTGGGATAGTTGGAACTGATTTCTATTACAGGAAATAGCTCATTTAAAAGCAAAAAAATGCAACAACATCGAGCCTTTATCCAACTAAATGAGATCGGCTACATGAATCATTTTTCTCCATTGTGTCATGTTAAAAGTCAAAATCTCATTTAAATCTAATAAAAAATATATTTCTAATATTTTCTAACCAAATCTTTCTAGATCTACCTCCACCTTTCTAAACATAGGCCAGATCCAATGCATCTACTCTCTTAACTAGGTCATTGGAATGCCGACATTTTTTGTGACCAAACCATCTAAGGCGACTCTCTCTAATCTTATATGTCACTGGAGCTACTCCAACTTTTTACATATATGCTCATTTCGCATTTTGTCTCTAAGAGTAAAGCCACTCATCCACCCGAGCATCCTCATCGGAGGTAGGTCTCCAAGCACCTATTTAACACCTCCGTCTGCCCATCTGTTTGAGGGTGATAACCAGTGCTCCTCTTTAATACCGTCCCCTGTAGCCTGAACAGCTCCCTCCAAAAGTAGCTGAGGAATACCTTATCCTTATCTCTGTCGTATACTATAGACTCAGGTATCCCATGCAGTCTGACCACCTCTTTGATGGGAATGCTACTGCAACTGCCACTGTAGTGTAAGGGTGTCATAGAGGAATGAACGTCACCATTTTTAGCGTAAACTCAACTACAATTGCAACTGCCACTAGAATCACTATAAACTCTTCTAATACCTCTGTAGTCAGCATAGCCTTGAACATCACCATTGCTTTTAAATATTGGTACAAAAATGTTTTTTTCTCCAATCATTTGATATCCTCATAATCTTCAAAATTTTACTGGAAATACTCATTAACCAAATCACTATAATATCCCCCATTACTCTCTATGTTTCAATAGATATCTCATCAAAAATCAAGTCATTATATTTATATTTATGCATTTTTTTCGAAGTTAACTCAACTTCACTTTTTGGAATCAATCTATAATATACTTCACTAAATTCTTCAGTATGCTCTTCCAAAATATTTTTTTTATGAAAGTCGTCAATGAATAATTTCTCAAAGTAGCATTTTCATAATTCTTTGATGTGCTAATCTTTAACAAAGATTCTATTGTTTTTGCTTTTAATTCATCTAACTTAATCAAAATCCCAAGATCTTTTCTTTCCTATCTTTTAGCTATTCTATATCTCATTATCTTCTTCCTTCATACAAACCCGATTCTAATTTTCTTTTGTTTTCATCACTATAAATAGTATTAAAAAAATCTATATTCATAAACCAATAAGAAAAAGCCTCAAGATCTATCCTCCCATCAAATATTAACATTTGAACTTTTAGTTGTCATCATCCAAATCATAAATATGAAAAAAGTCTATTAGTAGCGTAGATCTTGTAAGAAAAAAGAAGACTAAAAGAAGCATGTATCATGCTAGAAAACAACTCAAAATGTGAAGCTAAAAGACGAACCTAAAGAGACGCCATAAAGATGCCGAGGCTTGGATCTGTTGCGAATAAATAAAAGATATCAACCAGTGAAGTGTGGATACATGCAATGTCACAAGTCGGAGCATATCGATCAATAAAGCAGCAGGTACAGTAAGGCCAAATAATATCCCAGATAATGCAAACCCTCCAAGGAAATGGTGCAGGAAAGAGGCCATAAACAACCACAGTGTGGAAAATGTTTGAATTGCATCAAGCGAAATCATGCCAAAAAATTCCGCTAGCTCAGTATTTAACTTGAAGCCTGCCGGAACACCCATTAACCACACGCAACCTGAGCGCAACACATTCTCTGTGATGTTATGGGCAACAAAGTTGATCCAATAGCCAATAAATTCAATATTAACCAAAATAGCAAGTCCAAAAACTGCTCCCAACAGAACATCCACGGCCACAGCAGACCACATAGAATGCTTCCTTAGTGCATCTCTATGTGCAAATTCAGCATTTGAATGTGACCTACAATCAAATAGGTTCTGTTATTTTCATAATAGTACGAGAATGTCTCATGCCGAATTGGAGCATGTCATCATTTCAATAATTACCTGAAGCCACTACCTAGAAAGATTGGCCAGTATAAAAACTGGCAACTCCGAATGTGCACGTGTTTCCATGTGTGACTGAAGACCACCTTAAAAATTATGGTTGCTAACTTGTGAAGTTTCAAATTCAGAACCGTGTAAAACAATTGAAATATAATATAAATGACTGATGAGATCGAAGCCAATGAAATTGCAAGCATATACCATAGCTTTGGTGTCAGCCTAAGAAATCAGAATTAACAATCAGGAGAACAGTACCATCCATTCTGCGTACAAAATAATGAAAACAGTAAAAATGATACTGTCACAAATTGGCAAGAAATTGGTAGATGGTTACCAACATAATGACAAATGAGTTGTAGGAATTTTCTCAAACAAACGTCTCTGCAAGAGTTGCTTAGCAGCATCTGAACAATTCAGTGCAGACACAACTGCTTCCTGAATGAAAAAGACAAAAGCAAAAAACTTGCAGTGGTGCAATTTAAAGGGTAATTATAAAGAAAACATGAAAGCGTATTGCCACAACTAACCAGATCTGTAAATGGTGGTTTTTGAAAGTGGTTCGCCCAACTTGGATTTCTGAAGGGAGTGGAGGCTGCCTTCTTAGAATAACTCCCAGAGCTCAAAGTATAATGATGTTTACTAAATGCCGGAAGATCATAAATTACCAACTAATTTCAACAATATAAGAATGAGTAACAAATTCAATATCAACATCTTAAATGGAAACAGGTAATCAGGGTTCTACAGACTTACATACATGGAAACCTGATATGGACAACATAACACCATTTTCATGAATGTGATCGAACTCCGGGATCCATCTAGCCTCTTTACAGGAGCTTCCTTGCAATCTAGAGAACAGCTGGATCCAGTTCCCACATCTAATTAAATCCTGCCTTTGAGTATCCATAGAAGGATCTAGCTTCTCACAGCCACATGTATATCGTCCAGCGCATTCAAATGGTGATCTTTCTGTACGTAATTTCTGATCAGAGGAATTATGCATATGGTCATTAAAGATGGAACCTAAAGCAGCATTACCTTCCACTTCAATGCATTGCATTTTACCCTTTCTGCTTTTTGAGGAAGAATCAATGTATTGGTTGCTCATCGTTTTCGTATTCAAAATGCTGTTCTGTAATACACAAATTCCCAAGACTGAGAAGGTCGAGGATTCCTGTAAAGCCACTGGCATCTTTGCATCGGCATGGCTTAGAATTTCCTGGTATTTGAGAAAGAGAAAAGAATTTGCACTAGTGACTCTTTCTAAACTAATGAGATCAAATACAAACAGGAGATAGAAATAATGATAATGAAGTTGAATGGCAGTTGAAAGCTAACAAAAAGAACTGGCTCTTCAATATTTCCTCTATAAAGCAAAGTAATATGAAGCAATTTGAAAAAAATATACCACTGGCATCTTCATGCTAGTTGCATCTTTCAAATCCAATATACTTAATCATCTCATTATATGTGTAATTTGCCATATCACCGTGAATATGAAACTTCACCAAAGGAATGAAAACTAATACCCAATCCTAGAATCATTAAATTTGGCATTTAAAAACATATGGGAAGATTTGATGAACTTAGTCGTCGCATTAACTCTCTAAGATAGAACCAACAACATTTAGCTAGGAAATTTCCTAAGGTAGATCGCATTGATCAATATATACATCATTATATAAGTTTTTATAATCTAATTTATGATTCTCTCCCCGATCATCAACAAAATAGAAAGCCTTTAAGCCTACAATAATCCGCTTTATGATAATGTTGTTAAGAACATTGTAGATTATATTCGCTCTAGCCAAGTGTTACCTAAGATCTTTACTTTTCTAATATCCAAGTCTCAGGCAATGTCATCAATACTACTCTTTAAAACCTCATTGCAAAAGAAACTACTCATATTAAAAATATAGACAAACATGAGCTCCCTTCTGACAATGATCTAAGAGAATACTCTTTATTACAAGATGATTTTATCATTGAACCTGCACCAGACTCCAACCTAGAATCTGAAACTGAAACTAAACTCGCCGTTGTTGCCTACATCAAAGCTCCCACTTCACTTTTCTTATGAACCTGTGTTAGACTCCAAGTATGAGCATGAAAATGAATCAAACTTTAGCTTAAGCAGGTTTTTTTTTTTGAAGGATGAAGCACATCCCAAATATTTTATTAATTGAAAATAAAACACAAGGTCACTTATAAACATTCCATATTGAGAACTATGAACATTAATATTAAAGATCATAGGCCACACTCAAATATATGAACCTTATCCTAGGAATGGAGCATACAACTTGAGCTAAAGGTTTTTTATTCCTAAATAATTCATATTTCTTCAAGTTGCTAGTTTAGCCAAGCCTTTTCAACCTCACTCAAAGACTCGTTTTTTAAAATTCATCATATGCATTTTATTCGGTAAAACATTGATTTCTATTTGATTTTATGTTACTAAGTTGTAGGCAAAATAATTAGGATAATCATAAATTAAAATAGTTTGTTTATGAACTCCTTATTCAACTTCCTTAGTGTAAGCATGAACGCAAAAATGCATTTGATAACTGATACCAAAGTTAGCTGGATCTTATTGCTTAATAATTTCTTTATTAAGTTTATTATATTTTAAGGAAGTGATTCAAATTCCTTGAATTCTTACTTCTTTATCAGAGTTAACTACCATAGCAGGAAGATCCCGTGATATTATCATAAGATCATCTTAAGCTACATTTATAGCTCATCCTTCTTTTAAAGATGCCATGGTTATTCTTGTAAATAACTTGTCTTACACTTCTACATCTGCATTCTGCATGCACCATATTTTGATCGTGTTGTTGAAAGATTATAAGGGGAAAATAAATTACTATGTATTATTGACTCATAAGAGAGCCTATAAATTGACATATTACATAATAGAATAAGAAAATAAATAACCAAACTTATATTTTAAATTATGAAAACATTTAATACCATTAGCACATTCCAATATTAAGAGTCTAATTCTAACCATAAGTTGATTTGTTAATGTCAACAGAGCTAGCATAATTAGCATCGAAGATTATTTCAATGTTCAAAAGCTCAGGTATAGCATACATCAATCCTTTTTTTTTTCCTATAGACCTCATATATTTGAGGATCAAAATAGCAACTTCCCAAATATTTCATCTTTGGATTTTGCATGGGCTGACTAACCACATCAACAACGAATGAAACAAATAATTATCAAATAAATAAACTTACAAACTAACCTGAGATATTGAGATTAATCATCAAGAGATGCATCACCATCATCAGTCATAATTTGAGTATTATAGGTGCATCAACAAGTTTACAATCAATGAGATCGGGTTTTTCAAGGAGGTTGGTTGCATATTTTATTTGAGAAAAATATACTCTTTTTTATTGTAGGAAAACTCAATCAAAGGAACATATATGTTTGGCGCAAAATAGAGCACGCCATGGTGCACGGCCCGAAACGGCATACATATGGCGTCATTTGTATGGCGCAGAGCAAATGTTCAAAATGACACGCACAATTTGTGACATATGTGCACCATGGCACAAGACACAAACAACGCACACAATTTTGTGAAGGATTTTTAATATAATCATAAGATTTTTTTAGTACTTATAATTTTTTAATTTCTAAATTATATAATAATAAATTCTAAAAATATTTGATTTGAAATAAATGTTTTACTTAGGGTTTTATTTGTTTGCTTGCTCCTCATTGGAGTCGATTAGACCTTCGACAAACATGTTCCGAAGTCACAAAGGAAGCTCTCCTACGCCTCTGCGCCATATTCTTGCTTTTGGCTTAAGGTAATGATCTTCCTACATCATTTTTGTCTTCCGTCGCCGATGGTAATGAGCTCTCTTCTCTTCCTCGCCGCTAGGTCACGAAAGATATAGAAGCTTCGTTGCCTCTTTCAACGAAGGTGCTCCTGTTGCATCGGAGGTCACGAGGGAAGTTCGCCATTTAGGTAACGATCTTTCTTCCCTATGCCATTGTGCTTATTTTTTCTTTGACCAAAGGTAATGAGCTCTCTTCCCTCCGCTAGGAAGGTAATGATCTTTCTTTCATGCTAAGGTAACAATCTTTTTTTTCCTATCTGCTCGATTGGAAGATATTCCTCTCATATCAGAAGTAAGAATCTCACCGAAGAAATCCCTGTTGTTCTCGACATCTTTTTGGGGACAGGCTTTCCTATGACCGACCAAGACTGGTCTAGCTCAGTTTGATCTGATCAAGTTTGGCATATCTTAGTATGTGATCAAATTCAAGTGATTTTAGTTTAGTTGGATTCGTCTTGTGGAAATGCATCATATTGATTATAATCTTGAATTGAACTTTGAATGACTTCTAAAAGTATTAAAATTCAATTCTAAGTGTTTTTTAATTTAAAAAATTAAGTAGAAATTCGTGCTTAATTAGGTTGATTTTGTGAGCCATATCAATCTCTCCATCAAACTTGTGAAAACTTTAATGAGCATTAATAACTAATTTATATCTATTTTTTATTTTGTGTCATGTTTAAAATAGCACATGCCGCATAGAACGCTATGCACCATGACTCCACGAGGACCTTTGCACCACTACGCATGCCGCATAGAACGCTATGTGCCATTCACCCGTTAACAAGCATGCCAAGAAAGCACCTATATCATTCCAAATATTTGGAGACAAAGCACTTTAGCAAATAGTATTTATCTTCGAAATGCCCTGATGGTCACTTCCTACGCATAAGATGTTGTCAACATGAACAAGTATGATTTATCCCATAGGAGTATGCTTAATGGAGATAAAATTATTTATAGTGTTGTTTCACAGACCACTCTGAATCAGGTGATCACACAACCAAAGCTAGTGGACTTAGCTTAAGGCCATAAATAGCCTTACTAAGAAGACAGAAATGATTGGCCACAAGATAGTCAGACTTCATATATTGTGTAAACTTTTACACGCAACCAAACCTTGTAACAATCAATCATCCCATAAGAGTGAAATTTTATAATGAACACCCACCAGCAAGCAATAGGTTTGATCCTAGGAGGAAGAAGAGAAATCGGATCCCATATATAATGACTAAGAAGATCATTCATTTTGACTTTCATGGCATGCTTCCGGGTATTACATCTTTCTCGATATGTCTTTGGAATATATATAGATATTAGATACAAGGCAATTTTTCAGACGAATTCAAATAAATTAAACGATATAAAGGGTAAATAGAATAAGTAGTAAGTTGTCTTTTAACTTTAAGAAAGGTGACATGAAGACACAAATCAGATGACTCAAAGGATGGCGGATATTCCATCAATGTAGTGGAAGGTGCGGTTATTGATGGAGATTAAGGACAACCAGAATATACATGTACAGGTGCAAAGGCAAGAGGAGTTCCTGGTGGAAGAGGAAGATATGGTAAGGAGGGATCAAGAGTGGGAGGGGAAAAAGTGGGTAGTCACATAGAAGGTTTTGTCAACGAAATTATACAACCACTATATAAGTGAACCACGACTTTTTTTGAGTACAAGAATACCTAAATAAGAAAAATCAAATAGCATGGGAAAGAGCTTTCTGAGCAAATCACATCAATATAATAGATACAACCAATGGAGTAAAAAGAAGCTTGACTATAATAAAGAGCTAAAAAGATTAACTATGATCAAGTAATGGAGAGATTTATTAACATTTTTAAATTAACTTCCAAATTAGAATCCTCCCCTGGTTCCAATTCTTGAATTGCATTGTGAACTCAACAAAAATATAAACACAAATTGTGCAATCAAAATATGACAAAGAACCCATCGCTAGGCATTGGTTCAGAATTGTAGTTGAAATAGAGGAGAGGAAAGGCGGTATGATAACCCAGCTGGAAAGTCATCAACAACACAATGGAGAACAAGGAAAGGCAAGTAGAGGTGGCACTTGATTGAGGTGATATAATGAATCAGCAGCAAATAGAGAGGTAGAAAGGCAGGGCCGAGTGGGAATAGACTCCGCCAAGAAAATATTAGAGCAACAGGTAGCTGCAGTACGTACAAATCAACATAGAGACCAAACTAATACAACGTGATGAGAAAATAGTAGTGAATATCAAGTAGCACTTCGCACTGTTGTGGTAATTCAAAACTCCAGATATGCTAATTGGAATTGAAGGCCTAAGCTGAAACCATGCAGTGATATGTTAGACTTAACAAGCAATTTGAAATACAAGAGAAAACATCATGTTCATATATGAGCCAACATCATAGATATGTTTTACAAAAAACAAACCAAAAGAAAACAAAAAACGCAAATACAATACATAGAAATTTAATATAACTCATATAGATGTGGAGTCCTAATTTCTTAATCATCTTGAATGATATTTGATTTTGATTTTAATGATTGATAGATATCAAACTCAAGCACAAATCCTACTTGATTTTCAAGATTGGTGGCTATAAACTCAAAATTCATTCATGCAAATTTTTTTCAAAACGGTGGCTACCTAACTCAAGCTATATTCACACTTCATCTTTCAAACCTACCACCAAATGATGCAATTATAAAAAGATGAGAAAATCTAATATTTCATGGATCCAACAACAAAAAATAACAAAGAGAGAAGAGAAAGAGGAGGAAGAAGATGGAGAAAATTGATGTCATCTGAAAAAGAAATGAATATTTTCTTTTGTGCTTGGAATTCTTTGATTTTTTACAAGAAGAAAAAGCATTGTTATTTTCGATTCTAGCAAGAAAAAAATGCTGTCATAGCAATGAATAGTTATTATTTGAACTCTTGCAATAGAGATGGGAAGAGAATAAATAGTGCAATGACAACATCTTCTCCATATCTAACCCTCATCTTCGTAATAAGTAACTGTATTTTCTCTTAACTAGATAGAGCAAGTCATATCTATAATTATGTATGAAGTGTAATTTTTTGTGTATGTTTTTAAGTTCAGCAAATTGTTTGGCCTCTATATGGCCATGGATGTATGCTTACTTAAGTTAAACCATTTAAATATTGGTGTTCTCTTTTGTAGTGAATGATCTCTTTTGCAACTTCTTTGTGATTCATTGTATTTGCTCCATGTTTGAGATGCTCTCTCTTTCATAACAAATGGGCTAACTTGAAACTATGCAGTACAACAACAACAACATCAAATCTTTATCCCACTAAGTGGGGTCAGCTACATGAATCATTTTTCTTCATTGTGTCCATTAAGAGCAAATTTCTCATTTAAATCTAATAAAAGAAGTCATTTCTAATATTTTCTAACCAAGTCTTGTTAGGTCTACCCCTATCTTTCTTAATATAGGTCAAATCTGCTGCATCTACTCTCCTAACCAGGTCAAATCTGCTACATCTACTCTCCTAACCAGGTCATCGGAAGGCCGATGTTTTGTGTCCAAACCATCTTAGCCAACTTTCTCTAATCTTATCTACCACTTGAGCTACTCCAACATTTTCACGTATATACTCGTTTTGCATTGTCTCTAAGAGTGAAGACACGCATCCACCTAAGCATCCTCATCTCTGCAACAACAACAACAACAATATCAACTCTTTATCCCACTACATGGGGTCAGCTATATGAATCATTTTTCTCCATTGTGTCTTGTTAAGGTCAAATTCTCATTTAAATCTAATATAAAGGTCATTTCTAATATTTTCTAACAAAGTCTTTTTAGGACTACCTCTACCTTTCTTAACATAAGCCACATCTAATACATCTACTGTCCTAACCGAGTCATCGAAAGGCCGCCGTTTTATGTGACCAAACCAACTCCAACCTTTCACGTATATACGCGTTTCGTATCTTGCCTCTAAAAGTAAAGCCACTCATCCAACTAAGCATCCTCATCCCTGCAACACTTAAACTTAATTTATGCTTCTCTTGTAATGGCCAACATTTTGCGCCATAAAGCATTGCATATTTCACCACCATCTTAAAGAATTTTCTAAGTTTGAGGGGGCACTTTTTTCGCACACAACAAGCTCAATGCATTCCTCCACTTCAACCATCCAACTTTGAATTCTACTAATGATATCCCATCTATTTCACCATCACTTTGAACAATAAACCCGATATATCTAAAATGTGTAATCTTATTAATGACTTGATCCCCCAAAATCACAATCCCACACTAGTTCTATTGCTACTAAAATTAAACTTGATATATTTGGTTTTAGATCTACAAAAATGAAAACCTATACTCTAAGGTTGACCTCCATAATTCAAGTATTCCTTCAACTCTCTCTCCATTCTTATCAATAAAAAGAATACCATCAGCAAAAAGCATCACCAGGGTACATCCTCTTGCAAATGTCTAGTAAGAACATCCATGACTAAAGCAAAAATATATTGGCTTAAAGCTAATCTCTGATGTAATCCAACTGAAATAGTAAAATACTTGGTCAAACCACCTTGTGTTTAAACACAATTATCAACTCCTACATCAATATCCTTGATGACTTGAATATAAGCATTATTATCTCGAAACTACACTGTAATGAGTTATATTTGACAAAACTATTTAAAATACTAGAGAATGCATCATGTTCATAAAAGAGCCAACGTCATGAGCATATTTACACAGAACAAACTAAAAGAAAACAAAATACACTAATATAAAACATAGAAAGTAAAATACATTAATACAACTCGTTCAGATCATCATTTTCTATACTTTCGATGCAAGTATACTCTTAGATTTCCATCACCATATACTCTAACTCTTAGGTGAAGATATTACTTATCCTTCATTGGAATCTGAAAACAATAAGTTATTCCATAGCCGGTAATCTCTCCTCTGCTTGCTGCTGCATCAATAGGGCTATCAATAACTGTGTCATGGCCTTTCTACTTTCTTCTTCATATATGCTAATTTCCAACATTTATCAGTTAACATCCATCAACTCTTTTCAACAATATCTCCTAATTCCCTAACTATTGTAAACATCATTGAGAAAGCCAAACTCCATTGCATCCATGATTGATTTTGTATCAAGTGCAATGAAACAAATGATCTCAAACGCTAAACCAAGCAAAATAGATTTTGGTAGGGAATATCCATTCAAACTTAGATTTTACATGCTACTACCAGCTGCTAACTTTCATGTTCTTCAAGCCTAGCTTATGTGGAAAAAAAAACACAAGGCTTCGATTTCACAAAAAATGCGGACAAACATCAGTTTTCATTACTGCTTTGAGAGAATTGCACAAGAACTTGTTTATATATGCATGTTTCCAAACTTATCATGGAAATGTGCATAGTCAAAACTTCCTTGCCTTCTTGTGTGCCATTAACTAGAGAGAGAAAGAGTTACGACAGATGAATAGGGAGGGAATTAAGGTTTAAAGACGGCTAATCATGGTGTTCATTCATTATGCAATAAAATGACTTATTATAAGTGATAAGCCATTGGAATAGAACATAGATGTATCTTAGACTAAACTACTATTATGTTCCAACATGAAATATGTTAACAACTATGTTGCTCTCTAAATGGATCGAAGCCTGTAATGCCATTGCATCATTCCCCTGAGCTGTAAAAAGACTGCACTGATGACCTCAAGCAGAGAACGCTAGAAAAGAAGACTACACCAGAACAAAAAAATCTCTCAGCCAAGTAGGAACTGCTGTAGGAACAAGTATATCTAGAGGCTTTAAAAAAATTGGTATAGCCATGCATCATCAGTCGCATCTTTTCAGTAACCTTGGTAAACAAAAGAAAACATGGTAGCGGGAAAGTATAATGAACCCAAAGACCAAAGAAGTCAATATGTGGCAAAAGCAGCAACAGTAACATAAAATCAATACAGTGATAATAGGTAATGGCTCAAAACAAGATAAAAAATCACCCATGAAGTCTGAAGGAAACAGCCTAGAGAAAACTCAAAAAAAAAAAAAAAAAGAGAGAGAGAGCATCAACAAAGATGTGTGGCTCCAACAGCTATAGCTCTCAGCAACCTTGATAAAGAGTAGAAAACATGATGTTGGCAGTAAAAATGAAAGTTAACATGGTCACCACGTAGTAATGATGGACATGGTGATAGCAAAATAAAATCGACAAGTAACCATAATTACAGGCCAACAACTGGATCATTAATCAACATTGAAAGCAAAGGGGAAAAACCAGACCGAATCTCGATCTATAGATTGTGTTGGCAGAGAGTACAGCTCAGACTCAGGCACAAATCAGCCTTAGTGTCTAGTATCAAATCAGTTATCCAAATCTAGCTTTCATTATAGAAGACAGTCATTTGGTCTTTGATATGTTAAATAACACAACTCAAAACCAAAAATTGATGTAGGCCTACGTTGTTTGCAATGAATTTATTAAGAGCTTGCACAACTTATTGATTAGAGAAATAACAAATAGACCTATTAGCAAATAAAACTAAGAATTAAAACGTAAGAGCGGTCACTGTCGTTTAGGCTAAGTTGCACATCAAAAGATTTGGATCATCAAAATAACGTAGAAAAATAACATCATGCCAAAGTAGTAGCTTTCAATGAAAATCCCTAGTCTAACAATAAGATTAGAAAACAAATGAATACACTCAAATCCCTGCGTTTACTAAGCTTAGCAAAATCAGACAAGCGTAACCTTCATGACTGCAATCAAATCACAAGAGAGTATTAGACTTAAGAAATGCGAGAAAAGGAAAATTAGAAAACCTTCGTCAATGATCGGTTGCAATCCTCCACTCGACGATCTCAAGTTGTTCTTCAATAGCTTCAATCAATGTGTCCAAGATGCGCTCTTTGTAGTCTTCAATCGTATGGTCGATCCTCGGGTTGACGTCGAAGAAGGTTGAATGGAGAATATGCACAAAACCGTGTTCGTTATAGGCAAGTCCGTAGTCAGTGTCAGGATTGGCCATGCAATGGCTTTGTGTAATTGGTGGTATCGATGGCGCCTTCAAAGCTCTTAGGTGTTCCTAAGAGAAGAGGGATTCTCATAAGAAGTAGGAGCTAAGGGGAGGAGAAGGTCGGCCAAAGAAGGGGAGCCACACGTGGAGTTAGGGTTAGGTTGATGGAGTGAACTAACTTCAAAAATCTGAAATAAATTTCAAATTTTGGAATTAAGAGAGTAGAAAATTAGGAGAGGAATTTAGTCACCTTAAATTGGGGAGGAGAGTTAATGAGAGAGAGGAGTGGAGAGAGAGAGAGAGAGGAGTGGAGAGAGAGAGAGGGGATGGGTAGAGAGAAGGGGGCGGCGGCATGAGGGAGGTGGGGAGAGGAATTTATTTCCTAAATCAAATATTTGGTTTTAGAAATAAATTAGGAGGTGTAGACTTTAGGAAAATTCGGCCAAATAGGTGAATAGGAATAAGGAAAGATTTCTAAGAGTGGGCTTAGGAGATTTGGAAACAAATCCCAAGGATTTATTCATGTGGTCAGCGACATCATGGGCCTAGAAGGGATTTAGGGGAGGGATTTGGGGTTTCTTAATTTGGGTTTAGGAATTAGGAAATGTTTAATTAAATCCCAATCCAATTTGAAATTCAAAATGATTCAATTTGGGAAACTTTCCTAAAATAGATTTTATAATTTTAGGAAAGATTTTGAATTCAAATTCACCAAATTTCAAATTGGGTGAATTTGAATTCAAAATCTAACCAAAATTATGGCAATCTAGAATAGGAAATAAATCCAAAAGAGGGTAAGGGCTAGGGGGTGGCCGGTGGCTTGCTTGGGGTTCGGGTAAGGGGGCCGGCAGCTAGGTGGGGGTGGCTTGGGGAATTTGGTGGGTGGAAAGGAGGGGATCAGATGGTGGTGTAAGTCGGGTGGTAGGGAAGATGAGAAGAAGAAAATAGAAGCTAAAACCACGAACCCGACTCGTCTAGGTTGGTGGGTGATGCGCACTTCTCCCTCTCTTAGGGATCTCTCTCCGAACTCAAGCTCTCACAAGAACTCATGCAAGGGGAAGAAATATTTTAATCAATCATTCATTAACTTTCAAAGAGAAACATAGGGGCTATAAATAGCCTCGTACATAAGGCTCAAAAATAAGAAAGATGACAACGCCCTCAGGGCTTACATAAGACATCCCTTAATAAAAGGGTACAACGGGAAACTAAATAAAATAAATACAATACGACATCATAAATAAGAAAATACATAAAACAAATCAAAAATATAATGACTCAATCGTAGCCGTAGATCGGCGGCCACGTCTCTGATAAACCTTCCATGATCTGATGCCCCCATCAAAAATGCTACCAAATTCAAAGAGAGGATCTCAAAGGTACTTCAAAGATTTGTCAACTTGTGATTGAATCAATGCTTGAAGAGTTAGTTTAAGTGGCACTCAAAAAGAGCATACTTAGCAGCTACCATAGCACAAAAAAAGAGCGAGTTTATGATTATGATTGACAATCAATCTCATTAAATGCATCCCTTAGTGAAAGCACGTAAATTCTTGTATGGGACCGGATCATGAACATCTCTTCGCACTGCAAGAAGTTCTATACGCACAAAGAGATGTGAGCTATTGGCTCAGGATGCTCCCATAATTATGCAATTGTATCTTCACAGCGATCTTGACAAACAAAAAAGACATAACTTTTGATGACCCTGCCAACTCCCCTCTCTCTTTCCTAGCAAACACCCTAAAATCAACCAACTAGTTATTCCCTCAATACTTAATGTAGCACAACTGACCCTAGAACAACATGAAACATACCGGGAAGGATTCAGGTATTGGATCAGGTCAGGTAATTTAATTAGGGAGTGTTAAAGCTCAAGTTAACAATGTCAAATATGAATCTTATTTTAGCAATATAAATAAATGAACAAAAAGCACTACAACAATATGGATTCAACGGAAAAAAGAACTTAGACTGCAGCAAATGAATAAGATGTTTAAATTTCATAAAACTAAATTGAAATAGAACTCACTAGTTTTATAGTTATGAAAATGCCATATTAAATGATGTTTTTAGAAAGCTCTAAGGAGTTAAAAAAATGTCGACGTCTAGCCCATTAAGAAAAAAGCAGTGAGTTTTACCTTTAAAATTTGTTGAAGAATATACACAGAAGTTATAATGGTAGAAGGTGCCAAAGCCAAGACAAAGTAAAACGAATTAGAAGTTACAAAGTGATAAAGTGTGACCAGGTGTTGGACCCTCAAGTAAATTAAACACAAGTCAGCATTCTGAATTCTTCTACCTGAATATCATGTTGTTGACGATTCACCAAAATTTCAAGGGTGGAGGTTGCGTGGGCCAGGACAATGTCAAGTGAATTAAAGGAATGCATACACCAACCAAACAATAATAGATTAGAGCTAGGCTTGTAATCCGAGAGCTGTCTAGGCCACCAGACCCTACATTGTTTTCTTGCCATTTTCATTTAACCATAGCTGCTTGGCTAATTATCAAAGTGAGCTGTAATAAAAAAGGAAAAATGAAAAAGAAAAACGTTCAGGGCTAAATTTGTAATACTTTATTTTACTGTTTAAGATACATAAAGAAAATAGATTGCAACAAAATCAGTAACGTCTTTGGAGTCCTCATTGTGAGTCAAGGTTTGAAAAGATAAATAAATATTCTATAGCTAATTAGAAACAAGATTTCAGGGAATACACAAATTATTTTGGAACTCAAAAATCAAACTCAAAGTCTCATTATTCAACTTGAACATTAACAGTTCTCAAATCAACAAATTCTCAAAACATGGCCAAAAAAATATAAGCAGTAACTACATGGAAGGTTTACTTCAAAATTAAGTGGAAACTGGAAACTCATTTCCTGAGAGAATTGTGAGGAAGCACTGTTTGGGGGTAAAAATATGAGGAGAGAAAAAAATATTATGCTACAGTTTTTCTATGAGGGTTAAGAGGAAGAATACAAACACAGAAAGGTGTGATGAAGGATTGCAGTAGTTTGCTGCGAAAACCTATATCCATTTTCAAAGCAACCAAGTATGCTACTCTAGTGTCGAGTATGGCACGAATGTTGTTGAGCCCTTAGGAGAGTTTTCGAGAACACCTTACTAAGAAAGATGAGGAAAAGTGGTGAATACTTTATGGCCTCTTAAAGAATCTCTCATACTTTATGGTCTCTTAAAGACCCTAGCATGATCCACAAAAAAAAATACCACTTGACCATGTATGGGAGGCCTAATTCAAATCCCCACTCTCAGATGGATTCAAATCCACCATACTTTCTGGTTTCCAAATGCTCCTACCAAGAACCCACTAGAATCAATCTACAAGGATTAATTTAAGACCCACTCATGAAATGCTAGTAAAACGCAACACAGTGCATGATGATAATTGCAATGGTATTAAAAATGCGCTTTAGGAGTGAATCAAAGCAATATGCTGCCCTCTGCATCATTTATATGTGAAGCATAAGCTCAAAACAAACTTTGCATCACATCACTTTGTCACGTCAAGTCATAACATTGTACACTCAGCTCTAGAACAAAACAAAATCTTCATTCATATTTCATTACCAAGTTTAGCATCTACCACAATAAATATGCACAAACATTTGCTTACATTGTTATCGTAGTCAATAAGTCATTGTGCGTTAGCTCTTCAATCTCTCCTGCCATAGCTAGTTGCTTCTTGGTGATTCTTTTTGATGAGGACATCGGACGATATCGGCGAGTCTATCAGCATAGGAATCGTAGATCGATGGCTACAATTCACAGTCGTTATTTTTGATGCATTTATGTATTGTAGTTTATTTACTAATTACGATTGTACCCTTTCTTTTGAGTTTGTTTGAGTTGTAGCCCAAGGGGCATTTGAGTCGTTATTATTTTATTTTCTAGACCTATATATTGTGGCATCTTCTATTGTAATCGAATGATGATTATGATGAATGAAAATTTTCAGATTTTCTTGCTTGATATCTTTTGAGTTCTTGAGAGGAGAAACCATAAGAGAGGGTCTTGCAACATCCGTAAGCCACCGGTGAATTCCGGGACTCGCAGTTAGTACTTAGTATTTCTCTTTTCTTCCTTCCTTGGGTACCACCACTAACCACCTAGCCCAAGCCCTTAGCCGCCGGCTTGAAGCCTCCAAACCCCGCCCCTTTCTCTCCCTAACCCGCCACCCTCACCACCTACCTAAGCCGCTGGCCTCCCCTCATCCGCCCACCGCTGGTTTCCCCATGCCTCCTCACCGCCGGCCTCCCCTAGCCTCCACTAGCCGCCGGCCCCACCCTACCATGACCCTTGAATTTTCAATCTTAATTACTTTCCTAATTTATCTCACTATTAATTTGGAAAGTTGCCTCATTTGAATTCAAATTATATTTGAATTTCAAAACTTTCCCTATTAACCAACTTAAATTAGGAAACCTCTCAATTACATTAAATCTAAAATCAATTTCAGATTTAATGACAATCTATAATTAAATCCTCCTCGGTCCCATACATCGAACCTAGACACATCCTCTCCAATTCTCCCTTAATTTACATTAAATATTCCCCTTAATTCCCTCCCAAACCACTAGCCCCATTATAGCCTAAATTAGGATAATTTTGAAATTCAAATTGATCCCTCTCCTCTCTTAGTAAAATCTGAATTTAACTTCAGATTTTCTAAACCCCTCCTTTCACCTCACTAGACCTAACCCTAGCCGCCCCTTCCCTTTTCCTTCTCCACCCCAACTCTCCAAACCGCCGACCCCACTGATCTCCTCCTTTCCCACTGTCGGTTCCCCTTCAAGGCCATGAAGAACGAAGAAGCTCCTCCTAGTCCATGGATGGCAGATCCTGAAATCGATCTCGGGTTTGTATATGATAACCAAGGAAGGCCGGGCATTCCTCGATCTACCTTCTTCGATTTGAACTTGAACGTCGACGACTCCGTAGAAGGCTACATTAACCGCATCACCTTCACATTAGCACCGGCAATTGAGGAGCACCTCCCAATCGGATCATGGTCGATTGTGGGACGGCCACCAATCCATCCGTCGTCGGCAACCTTTCCATCAACGACGAAGCCCACCAATCCATCCGTCGTCGGCAACATTTCCATCAATGAAGATCTTAGGCTTTTTCTTCCTAGTGGTGATCTCTTTTCTAGTGTGGATTATCTTCTTCCGCTAACCCCACAAGTGAATGAGTGAGAAGGTCCTCAAGGTGAAACCTCTCATTATTAAATTGTGGATTTTTTGTTATGCTCTCATAAAAGTTACTCGTCTTTGAAGTTTGATCGAATTGTTTTGTTAATCTAACGTGCACTTCTTTGCCTAAGCAAGTTGAAAACTACAAATCTCTAGAATCTTTCTTTGTTGTGAACGGTACTTTTATATTGGACAGCTTTCAACAATAGTTCTTCTTAATTTCTCATTAACTCATGTTAGTTTCACATCACTTTTCAGGTTCTCTCACATGCTAGTTTCTTATATGCTTATTGATGATTATTGCTGATCACACTAGTAGATTCTCCTCTCACAAGCTTCTTCTCTAAAATGATTCTCACTACCTCATCTTAACACTCTCACTTTATGTACTTGCACCCTCAATCTCTAACCAATTGCTCAATCGGATGAGTATTCCTAATTTCTAAGTTTACTCCAATATTTTCATTATTTCTATTTTTTATTCTTGTTTTTAAGTCTTTAATTAGCTGAAAATTATTGTTATTGAATGTTTCATCGTATATGTTATAAATTATTATTTTATGTGGTTTAATCATGGTTAATTAAATAGCTATGAAATACATATAATATATGTATATATGATATATGAGTCATGAATATTTCAGTTAGTAAAAATGTCACTTAGCTTTGCACTTTGCAAATCGAAGCCAAAAAAAAAAAGGTTGTACATTACATTGCGCTTTTCACTTTGAAAAAGCTGGTTAATAGTTAAATATTTTGTGGAGCAGACGATCACCATTAGAGAGGGCTTTGCTAGTGTCACACTCGCCTGAATAGCA